TTTTTTTGCGCTGCGGCTTTGCTTGACTTCCAGGATTAGCAGTCAGCAGTTCAACGCTCACATTCCTTGAGCAGGCTACGGGCGTTCAAGTTTTCAAGTCAAGCGGGCCATGCAGCGAGTACAGGACCATCGACAGGTGCCAGTGCTGGTCAAAAGCAGTTTCACAGAGGCGCTCTTAGTCGTGCTCAAGTGCACAGACGCAAGCAATCATCCATTTGAAGATGTCCGGGCGAAAGAGTGTTTGCATTGCCTTGCTCAGCCCGTACTCACCTGCCAGCATGATTTGGAACGCGTCAAGCATGACAGTAATTTTGTGCGCGGTTTGTGCTTGCCTGGTTTTTGGCCGCGTCGTGCAGGTCGCCGGTTATCTTTAAGTCCCGAACCCCAAAGCCCGAACCCCTAGAACCCCCTAAGCCCTACTAGGCCGCCCTGCAAGTGTTGCGCGAGTGCCCTGCACGTCTTGGTTGCCCCTAACTCCCGAGACCCAGCGCCCGAACCCCTAGAACCCCGTAAGCCCTACTAGGCCGCCCTGCGAGTCTGAGTGTTGTGCGAGTGCCCTGCGACTTCCCGGGAAAAGAGGCCAGGGGGATTAATTAATTGATTATTTATTTTTCGGGACCCCCTGAGGCCTGTCATTTTTGTCATTTCGAGAAGCTCGTGTGCAAGGCTCCACAAATGCCGCGAATCGTGCCCGTTTCTGTGCCTTCCCGAGAACTTCCCGAAATGACAAAACTGACAAAAATGACAAGCCCCGGCCGGCTCGAAAAAGAAATAAATACATAATCAATTTTTTGGCTCCTCGGGATAGAGTCCAAAGTCACGCTACGACTTCCCGGGAATAGAGGCTAGGGGAATTAATTCATTATCTATTTTGTTTCCTAGGCCAGCCGGAGCTTGTGATTTTTGTCATTTCGAGAAGCTCGTGTGCAAGGCTCCAAAAAATCGCGAATCGTGCCCGTCTCTATGCCTTCCCGCAGAACTCGAAATGACAAAAATGACAAGCTCCGGGCTGGCCCGAAAATGAAAATAATTAATTAATTAGCTCGTCCGGGTATAGACCAAAGGCTGTCAATAGCCGCCGTCAGGGTAGTTAATTAATTATGTATTTTTTATTTTCGGGCCGGTCTGGGGCTTGTCATTCTTGTCATTCCTGTCATTGCCCGGGGCGGGCAGAAATGGTGGTTTTTGTACGTTTTTTGAGCCGGCAAGCCGAATGACAGGAATGACAAGAATGACAAGCTCCGGGCTGGCCCGAAAATAAACTAAATAAGTAATTAATTAGCTCGTCCGGGTATAGACCAAAGGCTGTCAATAGCCGCCGTCAGGGTAATTAATTAATTATGTATTTTTTATTTTCGGGCCGGTGTGGGGCTTGTCATTCTTGTCATTCCTGTCATTGCCCGGGGCGGGCAGAAATGGTGGTTTTTGTACGTTTTTTGAGCCGGCAAGCCGAATGACAGGAATGACAAGAATGACAAGCTCCGGGCTGGCCCGAAAATACACTAAATAAGTAATTAATTAGCTCGTCCGGGTATAGACCAAAGGCTGTCAATAGCCCCGTCAGGGTAATTAATTAATTATGTATTTTTTATTTTCGGGCCGGTATTCTTGTCATTCCTGTCATTGCCCGGGGCGGGCAGAAATGGTGGTTTTTGTACGTTGTTTGAGCCGGCAAGCCGAATGACAGGAATGACAAGAATGACAAGCTCCGGGCTGGCCCGAAAAAAACAATAAATAATGAATTAATTAGCTCGTCCGGGTAGAGAGCGAAGGCGTCACGGTGGCGCCGTGGGCCCGGGATTGAAAGGTCTAAGCTGCCGCACCGCCAAAGGCACCGGCCGCCGAGTCAGCCTCGCTTTAGGCTCCGCGGATCCGCGGGGCACCGGCAGCGCATGCGTCAGTAGGGTCTCCGAACCATCGGTGGCCCGCACCATCATCGAGTCGTAGCTCGAAACCTCGCGCACCGCCCCGTACTGGGGCTGGAAGCTCCTCGCCCGCATTGGTGGGGGCCCGGAACGCCCCCACCTCCTCCAGCCGCCGCTGACGGCTCCTCGTCAGCTCATCGTTGTGCTTGAACTTGGCCGCGTTTTCCTGGTAGACCCGGAAACTCGCGGCCGGCATCGTCTCCACATCCTCGGGTGCCACCGTCACGGCCTGGTGCGGCCGGGCGTTGTACGCCTCCGCCGCTTCGTCCACATGGTCGCCCCAACACGCCGCCCTCCCGGGCCACCTTGCCCGCCAGGTCCTTCTTGCGTCTGAAATTCCCGATCTACCACCGCGGTCGCATTGCAGTCCGAGGGGTCCTTCTCGCGGTGCACCTCGCCTCCGGGCAGCACCGCCTCGAGCCCCGGAACTCGTTCCCCACCAGATCCGTGGTGACGACGTAGTTGCCCTCGTCCTGGACCAGCTCGGGGTCATAGAAGAACTCACACAGAAAGATACTCCCTTGTGGGCTGATAAAGCTTGTCTGAGTATGAACAAAAAGATTCGCTTTCTGCTGCTCGGGGACTTCCGGCAGCTGCCCGCTGTCTTGGATAGCTTCGCGGGCGCGGAGGTCTGCAAAGAGCTGAAGGACAGCCAGCTGCTGCACGATCTGGCGGGGGGCTGGTGCCACGAGCTCTCTCGGAGCGCTGGCGCTTCGACGAGCGGATCTTCGAGTTCCTGGCTTGGCTGCGCGTCGACGGGCCAGAGCAGGTCCCGCTGCCCGAAGCGGTGCGGGAGGCCCGGCGGCGGGGGGAGCCCGACGTGAGCCTCGTCATCTTTCCTGCCAAGCGGCTGCAGATCAACGAGCGGGAGAACCGCTGGCTCGCGCCCGTTCAGGCTTCGTCGGATCCGACGGAGGCTGAACAAGGCTTGTTTTGACAAAAATTGAGCGCGTTTTGTGCCGGTGCCAGGTTTAGTCAAATCTGACGAATTGTGGCACCGGCCCGTTCTGGATCAAATTGAGCGCATTTTTGGTTGGGGCGCCAGCTTTAGCCAGATCTGGCGAGTTGTGACACCGGCCCGTTTTTTGATCAAATTGAGCGCGTTTTTGTGGCACTGTCATCCTTCATCAGATCTGATGAGTTGTGAGAGTGGCACGTTTTTGATGTAAGTTGTTGGAAGCAAGGTCGGAATTCCGACCTTGGTATTTTTTGGCCCAAAAGCTGCAAAAAAAGGGCATAGTTTCGTTCCCCACACGCCCCGACTGGGGCGACAGATGCTGCGACAAAAACGGGCAGCATCCCGTTCCCGGACAGCCCCTCTCGGAGGGGGACAGAGGGTATCCCGCCCAGGCGCAGGGGCCTGGCGGGGGCGGCGAGGCTTCGGAGCTCCCCCATTTCCTGGAGAGCTCCCCGGTGCCTCGCGGACCGGCGCGCTTTTTGGGGAGCAAAATGACTCCGGAAGAAGCTTTACCGTGAAGCTTTCCGAAATGACAAGAATGACAAGAATGACAAGCTGGCGCCGGCCCGAAAAAATTAATTAATTAATTAATTAATGAATTAATTAATTAATTAATTCGAAGTTTCGCGAACTTGGAAGTGAACTTCGCGAACTTGGATGTGAACTTCGCGAGCTTGGAAGTGAACTTCACGATCGCGATACTTCGAATTAATTAGTTAATTGTTTGTTTTGGGGCCGGCTGGAGCTTGTCATTCCTGTCATTCCTGTCATTCCTGTGGCTTCTACCCGGAGGAAGGAATTAATTAATTAATTATTTTTTTTCAGGCCGGCTGGAGCTTGTCATTCTTGTCATTCCTTTGGCTTCTACAGCAGCAGCTACTACACCAACAA